AAATAAAATTTTTATTTGATCAGAGGAAGCCACTCGAGTTATTGTCGAACGTGTCTTGACACGGGTCGGGTTTTAGAACCTTCAGTTCTGCTGATGAAACGTTTCAGTGTGAGCCCGACTCGTTTCATCCCCGGCCTCCGAGCCTGCGTCACACATGTTCACCACGAGCTGCCCCACTTTTCTCTGGAGTAAAGTTCACCGCTGGGGGAACGGGCCGGTCCACGCTCGTGTTGCAACCACCAGTCAAAGTCTGATTCAGTGGGAAAACTTTAACTTGAGCAGCTTTAATGTGCAGAAGATGTGACCGACCCTGCGAGTGGAGGACAGGCCTCACGGTCACTGCCAGCTGTTTGAAACAGGTTTGAACCCTGTCCACACAACAACTTCACGTTTCCTCGTGATGTTGAACATCCTGCTAGATGTTTCTTCTATTGCAGAGCGAAGGTGTGTGTGTGTGTGTGTGTGTGTGTGTGTGGGGGGGGGATATCCTCTGCCCATCAGTTTTTCTTGTGACACAATAACGTGAGGTGAAGGCCAAAGATTAATCTGCAGTGGCCAAGGCCACCACTGGCCACCCCCTGGCTGCTCCACTGCTCGTGGTGGTGGATGCACGTCTCCCTCCACTCATGTCTTTCTTCTCAAGCAAAAAACAAAGGAAATAAAAAACCTCCCTCTCTTCTTCTCCACAGTGTAACTCCGACCCACTTGAACATTTTGCTCTAAAAACATTTAGGTTTACTTTCACTCCGTCCAGAAAAACACTCATTTGGGAAAATAAAAACATTAATTACTCAGATTCTTCAGCGATGGGGACACTGGCATACCGCTTTTTAATTTTTCTTATTACATATTGTTAGAGGAAGTTTGCTCAAGGGTTACGGCTGTTTTTACCCACCAGGGCTGAGAGTGTTAGCTGCCCATGAACCGTGTGTTGGAGTCAGCAGAGAGCTGACGGAGGAGCTCATGTGGCGCTGCATGTGCAGCTGGTAACTCCACTGTCGCCTTGCAGTCTGCGAGCTCGGAGGAGCAGATAAGCGTTGTAAAAACACTTCCCGCACACTGTCCGGTGCAGATCATCATCTTCAATGTGACATCTGTGTAAGCCTGTTGTGAACATCTGTCCTTAAAACTGGGTTTAAAAATCTGTTGTTGTGTGTGGCTCCATTTAAGTAAGAAAGAGCACGAGAGGACATTTTTATCCAGCACGTACGTTAAAACACAAACTGCAGACGAAACAACACGGAGACCTTATGATCAACTCCCAACAGTTTGGCATTTTTTAAACCAAATGGATGATTCTGAAGTTATTTAAAGATCGGTGTTTGAACCACTGATTTCTCACAGTCCACCTTAAACCGGCACATCTGAAGAATGATCTCATGAGAGTCCAGCGGGTGATTCCTGACGGTGACGAGTTGATGTTGAAGAGCAGGTTATCTCTGACGCACTCAGGGGCCAGGCAGCAGGAAGGGCGGGGCAGTTTCTGTTTTTAAACGCTGATGGAAATCACTCTTTCTGCTCTCGTTTGCCCTTTTTCTCTTGCCCAACATCAGGTTTTTCTGTTTTTACGGTGAATGCATTTTTGTTGCGTTCAGCTGCTGTTCTGACTTCTTGTCACTAGAGGGCGTGACTCTGACCGTGTGAAGGAGACGGACTCTGGTAAAGAAGGGAACGGAGCAGGACTCGGAAAAGACGAGACGAGGTTGTGTCCGGTGTCATGGCGCAGTTTTTGTAATAAAATGTTGGTTTAACCATCGTCTCCTGGTTCATCATAACTGAACCAACTCTGATTCACTTCAGTTTATTTATAAAGCGCCAGATCACACGTCGTCTCACTGAGCAGAAACATTCACATCTTATCTAAGGAGCCAACAGACTGCTTTGAGTTTTCACTACATCAAAGTCTCCCATCACACATTTCCTGACTTTGAGAGTGAAACTGAAGTTAAAACTGAAAAACCCAAATCCTTCTTGTAGCACTTTTCTGGTACTTTTTGTTTTTGAAGCAGTACTTGCACACGCTGAGCTTTGTCTGCCGCCCTCCGTTTGATATTTGCAGATGATGTTGAGCGTTTGATAAAACGTCTCTGGGTGGTGACTGGGCTGGTGCTGAGGTATTCATGAATCCTGCAACTCTTGGAAGGGAAACAAACGAGACGTTTCTGGTCGAATGCAGGAAGACTAACTTGAGCAGGTTTCATGCTTTGGTACAAACCACTCTTACATTTAGAGGACTCGTTGTGTTCTCTGGTCTTGACCTGTAGTTCTCCAAACTTTCTGAAGGTATTCTAATGTTTGGGTGAAGACCTGAGCAGCTTCTTCAGACCTTTTAACGGACAAAAAACCAACTTGTCAACAAGCACTTTGTCATGGAGTCTTCTACTTGCTCTTTGGTAAACTCCGGTTGAGATTTAATCTGAGTTTTCTTCAACAAAGTCTTTCTCTTTGGAACTCTCCCATTAAGCTCAGACTGGTAAAGGACTCTGGCACAGTCTTTCCATCTCCCCTGCTGAAGCTTGTAACTCCTTCAGAGCGGTCTCGGGTGTCTCGGTGGTCTCTCTCACGCTTCTTCTTTTTGCACGGTCACTCAGTTTGTGAGGGCGACCTGCTCTTGGTCCGTTTACACATCTTCCAAATTCCCTCCATGTCTTGGCACTGGATTTAACAGAACTCCTGGGATGTGTAGAGTTTTGGAAATCCTTTTGTATCCATCCCGACTTGTACTTTTTATTAGTCTTTCCTCCGAGTTACTCAGGGTGTGCTTTTGTCTTCGTGTTGTCATGGTAACCAAGAATACTGATTAACCCATGAAAAGACCTTCCAGATGCAGGTTTTCCCATTCTACAATCACCTGAGACACGCCCACTGCGCTCAGGTGATCTGTCACTACTAGCACCAACTAGTTGGACCTGGTCACTTTAAAGTGGGTGAATATTTATTCATCCATTGTCTTTACCCACTTATTCCTTTTTGGGTCGTGGGGGTCGCCGGTGCTCATGTCCAGCAATCACTGTGCGAGGGGCGGGGTACACCCTGGACAGGTGTCCAGTCCATCACAGGGACACCTGGACAGGTGTCCAGTCCATCACAGGGACACCTGGACAGGTCTCCAGTCCATCACAGGGACACCTGGACAGGTGTCCAGTTCATCACAGGGACACCCTGGACAGGTCTCCAGTCCATCACAGGGACACCTGGACAGGTCTCCAGTCCATCACGGGGACACCCTGGAAAGGTCTCCAGTCCATCACGGGGACACCTGGACAGGTGTCCAGTCCATCACAGGGACACCTGGACAGGTCTCCAGTCCATCACGGGGACACCCTGGAAAGGTCTCCAGTCCATCACGGGGACACCTGGACAGGTGTCCAGTCCATCACGGGGACACCTGGACAGGTCTCCAGTCCATCACGGGGACACCCTGGAAAGGTCTCCAGTCCATCACGGGGACACCTGGACAGGTCTCCAGTCCATCACAGAGACACCTGGACAGGTCTCCAGTCCATCACAGGGACACCTGGACAGGTCTCCAGTCCATCACAGGGACACCTGGACAGGTCTCCAGTCCATCACAGGGACACATAGAGACAAACAACCGTTCTCTCTCTCTCTCACCTCGGGACAGTTTACAGTCACCAGTCAGTCTAACATGCATGTTTTTGGTCTGTGGGAGGAAACCGGAGTACCTGGAGAAAACCCATGCATGCACGGAGAGAACATGCAAACTCCACCCAGAAAGGCCCCTGGCTGGGATTTGAACCAGGGACCTGCTCGCTGAGAGGCAGCAGCTCTACCAACTGTGCCACCGTGCTGCCCATGAATATTTATACAGTCATTTATTTTACATTACATATTTTTATTTTAATGACACTGCCTTGTATAAATCAGTTTTCACTTTGTTATAATTTTATTTATTTATTGTCAGAAAGATCATTTTATTTTAACTATGACTGATTTCTAATAAAACATCCAAGGTGAAGAATACTTTTTATAGGCACTGTGGAAATTCTGGAGCGTTACTGGTTAAGACCACTGGTTCCTAACGTTTGGTTCTGGACCCCACGTTGAGTCCTGATCAAGACCAGTTCTGTGTTGTCATCACTGTTTCCACACGACGACCACATTAATTCTCTGCTTTTAACCCATCTCAGGTGAGATACACTCAGGTGGAGCAGCGGTAGCTGTGTAAGCGCCCGGGGAGCAGTTAGGGATTGGGTGTCTTGTTCAGGGACACCACGGGATGTGGGCATGGCGGGGAGTTGAACCTGTGACTCTCTGGTCCCAGGTTGGCTGCCCTACCTCTACACCATCTCGGTCCCCAATATGACCCAGGATGAGGGTCATGATCTAAAATATAAAAAGTCATGAATTGATAAAAACTGAAGTTTTGGTTCTTTTGAGGTGTTTGTGCACTTCAGTAGTTTGGGTCGTAGTTCTCTGCTGCTGGTTCTTTATGGGTCAGAACCTGAACGGTTCAGATCCACTGGGTTTAAACCACCTTAAAAGATTATAAAAAGTCTGACTTCTAGGAAGAAAAGAACCATCGAGGCTTTTATCCTAGAAAGATAAAAACCCTGAGAACCAGTTTTAAAGGACAGAACCTGTGGAACAGGTATCAAGATCAATGCTAAGAGAAGGTTAGATGACAATCTGAGGCTGATGGTGCCAACAGTATCTGGACTCTGGAGCAAAACCTCACCCAGATGTTTCCAGGCGTAAAAAAAATGCTTAAATTCTAAAGCCCAATTGAATTGACATAAATCCGGTTGTTCTTTAACCTGGTGAAACGTGCAGCAGAGTTTCATACCGGTCATTGTTTCCACATCAAACCGTGACATCGGGTTTGACCCAACCCTCATCTTCCACAGAACCACGTTACATAAAAGATTTAGGTTTTTAAAAACACAAGAAGAAGAAGGTGCAGGAAGAACCGGCGCATCCAGTTGGTTCTGTCTGCCGACGTTCTGGCACGTTTTTTAAATCTTGATGCGGAGAACAACAGTTCAGTGCAGAGATCAGCTGTGAGAGGTCGTCCAGCGCCCAGTCCTGTCAGCAAAACATCACCCAGGTGAGACTTCTTCAGCCCAACTACCGTCTCAGGAGAGGGAAAATATCTACGTGCTGTTTGCTTAGAAGAACTTTCTGAGCTTGTTTCCTGTTTTTGTCATTTTAAACCTAAAGTGTGATCGTTTAGTTAGAACAAAAGGTTTTTGTGGTTTTAACAGAAATGCTTTTGATGTTCCTGTACGCTACATTTTGTGCACACGTTTGAATCCCTTTGTGCTAAAACATTAAATCAACTCAGTATTTGCATGAACACACAACTAATGATCAAGTTGTGGTTTTTCTTAGTCTTTGAAACCTAGTTTGGATCTGCATGTGCTCACATGTGCTGACAGTGATTGAAGATGTGCTTTGTGCTGATTTGAATGTGTTCTTCATAAATAGGCACATTTATGTAACTGTCAGCTTCTGATGATCGCCGACTCGTTTTATAGTCCGGTAGTGAAAGCTGTGATTGGCTTCAGCTGGAAGTTAACTGGTTAAATGCAGGTTTCCAGGTCTTTGCTGGTTTGTGATGTTTGCTGTTTCTAGGCTCCACCATGACGAGCAGGATGACGGTCACACAGCCTCAGCCTGTGATGGAGGTCCGAAGCTCTCAGGAGTGGAGCAGCGGAATCTGCGACTGCTGCAGTGATTTACGATCATGTGAGTGCGGGCTGACCTTCCTGACCATGAACACGTGTCTGGTGGCGACACTGGTTATGAAAATAACGTGTTTTGTTCTTGCGCTGCCTCAGAGAACTGTTTCTGTGCACAACCCCATCAGAACTATTGTCTTGCAGAATACGTGCGAAGCGTTGTGCCGTTGGTCAGACCTTTGTCGAACTACGCCGCTCTCATTTCAACTGCTCCGCTGAGGAGCATCTGGCCGAGGCTGTTGGAAAATACAGACTTTGTTGCAACTGTTCCAGCAAAACCTATAAAGAAAGTCAAAGGAAGATTAGGGCATTTGTCTGCTCGGAGGAGGCGGTGCAGAGACACCGGTGACTCTCTGTGCACCTCAGTTGGACGGTGTCGGGACATGTCCCCGCGCCGTCTGTCTCTGTGTGACAGAAATACCAGATCCTCCTCCAGCTCCTCCATCATCAGCTGAAAATGAACATCCACTCTGAAGACCGTGCTGGTGTGGGACGCCCACTGCAGTGGGACGCCTGCTGCAGCGGGACGCCTGCTGCAGTGGGACGACTGCTGCAGTGGGACGCCTGCTGGTGTGGGACGCCTGCTGCAGTGGG